AAAAAGTAGAAGAGCAAATCTCATTGGTGACCGAATGATTTTCGTTTACTAGCAAATATTTTTGTTAAATTCATTTGTCCAATACAAAGTGTACAATTTTTTAAGAAAATTATTACAATGATCAATGAATTATAATCACTTCCTCTTCGAAAATGTATAAGACGATAGGTTGGTCAGTAACCAATTCTCTCGTACAATTTTTATTATTAGTCATAATTTTAAAAAGACATTGTTGAATAAAAATAAATTCATATTTAAATAATACAATTATAAATAATAAAAAATAACCATAGATTAAAAAAAATGATTAGACTATTTGTGCTTTCGAACTTCTAGCTCTTAATACATTTCAATATCAAAAACAAACACAAAAAAAGTCTAATTTTTTAGACAACCTCCAACATGATTTAAAATTTTTTCAGGACAACTAACGACAATTTAATAAGACAAAATTAGGGATTACCGAACAGGACAGGTGCAAATAAGTAGTTGGAACAGAACTTCTAAGCATCTGATAGGATGTGCACATTTAGGGTTGGTGGTAGTGATGGAGGTGGCCAACTATTAAGGTTGACCCCCATTTAGGGTTTTTTTTTTTTTTTTTTTTTGCTTCTTTCGATAACAAAAGATCGATTGTTACTTGTAAAGGATGTAAACTATTTTATCTGAAACTTTGATATTATATTTATTATTGGATAATATAATCATCTATATACAAGTTCTCCATAATAAAAGAGGAAACTACAAATTAATTACAAAGCATATATTACTGTAATGCTCTAACTATGAAAAGGAAACTGCAAATTAATTACAAAGCGTATATTACTGTAATGCTCTAACCTAATTCTCCTATATTAACTACCTATAAAATACATTCTTCAGTAGAAACTTTTTATTTTCTCTATCCTTTCTCTTGTTAACTTCTTGTGTTTCTTCCTCTGTCCTTTGATTTATAACCAAAAACAATCATACAACCTACTAATTACATAATTTATAGCTAAGAACAATCCTAAGACCTACTAATTATATAATTAATTTATAACTACATGTATATATATTAATATACTTATAATAAATTATTCTACAAAGTAAAGAAAAAAGCTGAACATTTACAAGGAGAACAATAAATTTGAAAATATGCAGATGTTGTTAGGGATATAAGTGTTACGTCCACGATCTAATTATTTGTGTAATATATTGAATATATTATTATTCGACATTTATTTTAATATATGTCAATAATATTTTATATATATTTATATCCTATGTTTAATTTATGTGATTAAATTTATATGTTTTACATCTAGATAAGGATTTTAATAAAGAGAGTAAAGTCTTTTACGATTTAATTTAAAATATTTTTAATCGTTGGATCATTAAAATAGAAGATTAATGATCCGGTAAAATTAATATATATGTGATAGTCTCTATAAAATAAAAATTAGTTGATCTCATTAACTAAATCACATATATAGATGATGCATATGAAGATATGATCATTAAACCGACCCAATTGAGAATTTTTAATAGTTAATATTACCTTAAACTGTCAACATAATATTTTCTTATTTTGATAAGACGTAAAAATTTTTTTAGACCTGATATCATCATAGTAATTGATAAGTAATTTATTATAATTTGATTCTGAACACATATAGTCATAGAATTATAGTTGAAAAGATTTTAGATGTGATTAAATACTTGTAAAATTAATAATTGATCAAGATGAAATCTGTCAACTTTGGTAATAAGTTTAACCTCTATGTTATCATTTATTATAACGACTAAATTAAGACATTGGGCAGAGCAGTTGAAAGAAAGAAGAAAAGAATTTATTATATCATTCATTATTCAATTATAATTGACATAAAATATAGTTGGTTACCTATTGGGATTTAATAGTTACATTTAGAGTTAATTCAGAGCAATAATGATGGAATGAAATATCATATCTTTCTTTAACAGGTGCTTGAGAGTAATTGTACATTTCATGGTATCCGATCATTAAAGAGTCTTGTTAGACCTTAATTAATACATTAGTTTGACTAATTTGTTACTGGTTTAGTATTAAACCTATGAGGCCACATACTAACGAGTATTCTGACTTTTACTAAATTAATTAATTATTTTAATTATTTAATAATTAAATTAAAAAATTTAATTTAATTAAATAAATAAAATTTTTAGTTTAAATAAAATATTATTATATATTTTACTAGAAGCGATGATATAATTAATATTAAAAATAAATTAAATTTTTTTATTTTTAAAATAAAAAATTGATATTTATATTTTTAATTATTATATTATTAATATAATAATATAATATGTGTACCTATTAATAATTGAGATTATTGTAAAATTTAATTTAAAATTAAATTAATTTATAAAATTATTTTGTTAGATAATAATGATTAAAACAGTGAAACATATATATATAATTGGGTGTTAAAAAAATAATAATAATGAGTAGATCAATTTGACGTCTACAGGAAGAATCCCAAAGGGATATGACCACCCATGCCACCTACATATATATATACGAGGGGGGATTATAAAAGAGGAGATCTGAAAAAATTTGCTGCACTCCAAAAGAAAAAAAATTAGGGAATTTTTTTGTTAAAATTTTGTGAGAAAATTTTAATATATATTATTTAATTTATTTTACGTTCTGTTAATTAAAAAATTAAATAATAAAAGTTAATTTTGATTTAGATATGTATAAAATATTTATATTTTTAAATAATTTTAATTTAAAAATTTACTGTTACGATATGTTTTATTTTTAATTTATAATATAATTTTAATGTACCCATAAATTATATTAAATTAATTTATATTTTTCGCTGAATGTTAAAAACATATTAAAATACTTTACAGCGGTGACAGAAGTTAAAAACTGAAAACACAAAACAGCAACCAATACAAGTCCAAATAAAATATAATCTCACACCATATTTATAATTAAATGCAATGCTACAACCTACTAATTTTGTAATTAATTTATAGCTATATATATATATATACATTCACTATTAAGATACTTGTAATTAATTAATTAATTTAAAAAATTAAGATATTTATTATTTCATAAAATGCGGTCACTAATTCAGTTAACTTTTTACTTTTATGATGGAAGACTTACAAGCACTTACTTTCTCCACCATCCTTTTTATCCTGTAGCTCTTTTCTAAGAAACAAACCATAATCATCATCACCTTCTCTTGTGAACTCATTTACCGACTTCAAACTCTCTCCCTAAGTTTGAGTATTTGTATTGGTTTTTTCTTCTCACTTCCTTAAAACACCACATTGATTTTGTAGCCCATTTCACATGACATAATCTCATAAATATTGTTTCAGATACAGCCAGAGTAAATGAAGGAAAGGGCATTGTACTTCTTTGCCACTTCTTACGCCTGATGTTTCATTTGATTCATGATTGGGTTTTCTCTTATAAAACGGAGATCTTCTCCAACTTTAATAGCTTCCTGCAGATCCATCTCCTTCAAAAAGGTCTTCATCGCCCAAAGTTGATAGTTTTCTTCATTAAAAATTGGTGGAGAAATGCTTCCCGAACAACTCAAGGCCATGTATAGAAAGTTTTTTTATTTTTAGTGGTTAACTTTTGTGATTTTGCCGTTGATAAATTTTCTGATTTCAGATACTTGAAGGAATATAAAAGCTCTGATATCAGTTAGCTTCACCTACTTTGTGGTGCTTGCCCTGTGTGCGTTTAGAGAAACATGAAGTGAAAAATCTGGAGAGAAAATCCAATAATAAAGATGGATGAGTTGCAAGAGTTTTAATAAGTTATTTGTAATAAATGGAACCCAATAATAATGCATAAATACTCCTATAGAAGGAAAGGTACCATTAGAATCTTCAGCAATGAACTAACTGGATATTTATTTATGAGAAAGACTTGCAAATTCATCTGGCCCTCTTGGTTTTCTCTCTTTACTAAACATTTTACAGCTTCTCAATATGAGAAGCTAACCAATATCTATTTCTGATGCAAAGATAAAATATACAGTTCAATGCGATTTGATCATAGTTTTTCTTAATGATGTTAGTACTGTTTCTATGATTACTGTAATTTCTATTAGGAGTATAAACAATTTGATTTGCTCAAAACAGAAAAAAACGGCTGACCTCAGCCAAAGTGAAGGAAAGTATTCGACCTGTGCAAGTCAGAGTATGTATTGATCAACAAGCAGCACAATTGTTTCTCTCCTTGTGTATGCAGTATATATTAATATGGTACCAAAAAAGAGATATCACCTATGTACAAAAGATTTACAGTAGTGTTAAGGTACATTTTGTTTATGTGCTTGATGTGAATGTTCTTTTTTTCACTGAAATAAATTAGAACACCCTCTATCTCAATTGTCATAAAACAAATAAAGTAGAATAAAATTATCTAAAAACACTAAATAAGTTGCAAACATTCTCTAATCTTCTCCTTATTACAGAAAGTGAAAGAACATCTTGCCAGTTTGATTTTGAAAAACAAATTAGGAATAGACTACACTTATTAAGATCATAAAAGAAAACTCAAATGAATTTGAAAAGAATCATACAAGAGCAAAACAATAAATTCCAACATTATTATTATAAGTATGACCTGTATAATCTCTGTTGGAAGCAAATATGGCAAAGACTTGGATAATTTCTTGCGGTCAATCTTGGAAAAGCAGTGATGGAGGTAAGCTTTTTGTTTGATCTCCATCTTGGTCTCCTGTTCCCTTCACTGCGTTTGTAGCAGAAATTACAAGACTTATATATATTGACTGCCGAATGTATTCTTAAAATCAAGACTTGTTAAGAACAACACATTGCCAGTGGACTACAAAACTACATTCAGACTCTGCACACTCAAGTGCCAAATCTGTGCAGGGTTGGCCGCAAGAGTTGCAGGACGGATACTTCTCTGTCTTCTTCACGAAACGGAGGGAATGTGGGTGAGAATCAATTGTGTAAGTATATCCAAGCTTAATTCAAGGATACTTGCCAAATACACATTTGGGATGAATGGTGACACTGCAGTCATTACAAGAGTAGAACCAATGATATGGATTTCTCTTATCTTCGCATACATCACAATAAAGCTGATCTGGATCTGAATCATCCTCGAAGGTGAGTTTCAGAGGATGCTCGTCATAGCTGTGCATAGCTGTGAGTGGTAGTGTAGCACATTTGAAATCAAGAAAATACCAACATTCACAGCATTGCAGTCCGTTCTTTTCCAACGCACCACAGCCGTTGCATTTATGCTCCCGATCATCCTTGAAGAAGACGAAGAGGTTATGTCTATGAGCTTGATGGATAAGGGTGTCTGGAATTGAAGAGCAGCGAAGATCGAGACCAAAGCTGCATCTCTCGCAGCGGTAAGAGAAGCCGTTAGAGTCGATTGAACAGGCTCTACATGGGAAGACTCCGTCAGAATGAAGAGTAAGTGTATGCTGGTGAAATGAGAAAACCTTATTTCTGGGTAATTCAGCACAAGTTTTATGGAGGAAGAAATCACACTCTTCACAGCTATAAAATGGAGAAGAAATGGGTATACCGCAACCATCACAACATTTATTATCCGCACCCTCATTGCTGAAAATCAAGGTATGTTCATGGCTGAAATGCTCTATCTCAGCTGCAATCATGTCTTCACCCAGCTTGATTTCCTTAACAATCCTGATTATAGAATCTAGCCCAGCCTCACTGCTCTCCATATCATCTTCTTCATCTCTTGTTGTGCCATCCCATATATCAGAGCGTGTTGCGCAGTGAACATGGGCAGCATAATCGCATGTTGGACAATGATAACACCCACGATCTGCACTCAGATCCTGGTGACAAATCGAACAGGGGCGCCATTCAGACTCACTTTCGTGAAGAAAATAAGTATGTCTGAGAAGATGTTCATGACGAATTATTCTGATGGTTCTTGATAATGAAGTACAGTGGTCGTGAACTGTGAGGTTGCAGGAGAAGCAAACGTAGGGAGAGTGAGAGCCATCTTTGCCACAAGCATCGCAACAGAATGAGATTTGCTTGCAGAGGAGGGTAAAAGGGTGTTCATGGGTTTGAGATTGAATAACCGGAGGTAAAACTTCAGCACATTTTTTGTGGAGAAAATAGTTACATTGAGTGCAACCATAGCTAGATTCCTCGAGTATTGGATCCAGGCAGCCGGAGCAATTGGTATTTTCAGCATCATTGTCTCTGTTTTGCCGTTCAAAGAAAGTCAACGGATGTGTGTGAGTGAAATGATGAAGTTCCATTTCTCTTTATCTCCAGCTCTGCGTGAGACAGAGTATAGCAGTTATTGTATGGGTTATTGAATATGCAATTATTGATTCTAATAAGCAAGAAAAAATTACATCACGTTGTGCGCACTAAACTTTAAAGAAAGACCTGAAGCCGACTTAGACTTCGTTGAAGATGCAATTATTTATTTCAAATAAATACTACCGAAAGATGGTACCATTAGAATCTTCAGCAATGGACTGATTGAAAATTTATTTATGAGAAAATCCCAGCTAAATCATCTGGCCCTGCCGTTTCTTCTGTTTACTAAAAATTCTGCAACTTCTCAAAAAGCCGAATTTGTCATATGAGAAGCTAATCAAGATCTATTTCCGATGAGACGAAATATATAGTTCAATGTGATTTGACTATAGTTTTCCTTAATGATGTTAAGTGCAGCATTATTTCTACGATCACTGTAATCTTTATTAGGAGTATTTTCAATCTGACTTGCTTGAAATAAGAAAAAATGGATGACCAAAGTAAAGGAAAATATTCAACTGGATAAAGAATGTATCAATGAACAAGCAGTGCAACTGTTTGTCTCCTTGTGTATATTGTAAACCCAACTTCTTGTATCCTGCAGGAATCACATGGAGTAAGGCCACTCAGAGAATTTTCTCTTTTATTCCCTAGTTTTTTAGAGTAAATTTTTGTTTATATGGCTTGATGTGAATGTTCTTTTTTCAATGAAATAAATTAGAACACCCTTTATCTCAGTTGTCATGAAACAAATAAAGTAGAATAAAATATATTAATTTTTTATGAACACTAAATAAATTGCAAACATTCTCCAATTTTCTCCTTATTGCAGAAAGTGAAAGAACCTCTTTTCGGTTTGATTTTGGAAAATGGACAATTAGGAAAAAAACCAAGTTCAGACTAAACTTGCTAAGATCATTAAAAAAAACCTCAAATGAATTTGAAAACAGAGATACATACAAGAGGGCAACAATAAATTCCAACATTATTATTATAAGTAGGACCTGCAGAATCTTTCTTAGAAGCAAATATGGCAAAAGCTTTGATAATTTCTTGCGGTCAATCTTGGAAAAGCAGTGATGGGGTGACCTTTATGTTTGATCTCCATCTTAGTCTCCTGTTCCGTTTACTGCGTTTGTAGCGGAAACTACAAGACTTACATATATTGGCTGCCAGAATATATTTTTAAAATCAAGAATTATTAAGAGCAATTTTCGATGTGGACTATAAAACTACATTCAGACTCCCCACACTCAAGTGCCAAATCTGTGCAGGTTTGGCCGCAACAGTTGCAGGAAGGATACTTCTCTGTCTTCTTCACAAAATGGAGTGTGTGTGGGTGAGAATCAATTGTGCAAGTATCTCCAAGCTTAATACAAGGATACTTGCCAAATACACATTTGGGATGAATGGTGACACCGCAGTCATTGCAAGAGTAGAACCAATGATATGGATTTCTCTTATCTTCGCATACATCGCAATAAAGCTGATCTGGATCTGAATCATCCTTGAAGGTGAGTTTGAGAGGATGGTCGTCATAGCTATGCATAGCTGTGAGTGGTAGTGTAGCACATTTGAAATCAAGAAAATACGAACATTCGTGGCATACCAGTCCCTTCTCTTCCGACGCACCACAGCCATTGCAGCGCCGCTTCATAATTTTCTCGAAGATGGCAAAGAGGCTATGTTTATGAGCTTGATGGATAAGGGTGTCTGAAATTGAAGAGCATCGAAGATCGACATCAAAACTGCACATCTCGCAGGTGTAAGAGAAGCCGTTGGAGTAGATTGAACAGACATTACATGCGAAGATATTGTTAGAATGAGGCGATTTTGGTAGAAGAGTAAGTGTATGCGGGTGAAATGGGTAATGCTTATTTCTGGGTAATTCAGCACAAGTTTTATGGAGGAAGAAATCACACCCTTCACAGCAATAAAATGGAGACGAAATGGGTATTACGCACCCATCACAAAATTTATCATCCTTACCCTCATTACTGAAAGTCAAAGTATGTTCATGGCTGAAATGCTCAATCTCAGCTGCAATCATGTCTTCATCCAGCTTGATTTCCTTAAAAATCCTGATTATAGAATCTAGCCTGGCCTCACTGCCCTCCGTACCATCTTCTTCATCTCTTGTTGTGCCATCCCATATGTTAGAGTCTTTTGCGCAGTGGACATGGGCGGCATAATCGCATGCTGCACAATGATAACACCCACTAGATGTCCTCAGATCCTGGTGACAAATCGAACAGCGGCTCCATTCAGACTCACTTTCATGAAGAAAATAAACGTGTCTGAGAAGATGTTCATGGCGAATTATTCTGATGGTTCTTGGTAATGAAGTACAGTGGTAGTGAACTGTGAGGTTGCAGGAGGCGCAAACGTAGGGAGAGTGAGAGCCATCTTCGCCACAAGCATCGCAAGAGAATGAGATTTTCTTGCAGAGGAGGTTAAAAGGGTGTTGATGGATTTGGGATTGAATAACCGAAGGTAAAATTTCAGCACATCTGATGTCAATGGAAAAGTCACACAGAGAGCAGCTATAAACCATGATCCCTTCATAGCGGGTGCACAAAACACATTCAAATCCCGGCTCGTAGAATCGAAGAAGAAGAGTGCGTCTTGGGTGGATAGGATGGGAAATTTTACTGGGTAGCTCTGCACATTTTTTGTGGAGAAAATAGTTACATTGAGTGCAACCATAGCTAGATTCCTTGAGTATTGGATCCAGGCAGCCGGAGCAATCGGTATTTTCAGCATCATTGTCTCTGTTTTGGCCTTCAAAGAAAGTCAATGGATGTGTGTGAGTGAAATGATGAAGTTCCATTTTTCTCAATCTCCGGCTCTCTGTGAGACCGAGACTACCAGTTATTTATCACAGGGATTATTGAATATGCAATTATTGATTCTCGTGTAACATTAAAAAATACATCACGCTGTGCACACTGAACTTTAAAGACAGACCTGAAGCCGACTTAAGACTTCGTTGGTTCACTAAATTATTTGCATTTAAAAAAGAGTTATTTGCGTATGACGGAGACGAATACATTTACAGTTGCCCAGACAAGAAGCAAAGTATATGGAAAACGAAAAGCTGTTATATATATATATATATATATATATATATATATATATATATATTTGTTTTCACATAAAATTTAATTTCTTTTTAATGGGTTTTTAATTTGAGTGTTAGTATTTATTAAGAACTGTTAAAATTATGATGTTTATATTATTAAGAAACAGGTATACAAAGGCGATCTCTAATATTATAAATAATAGTATATTTAATTCCCTTCTCCTCCCTACACAACAGAGTTTCCTCAGCAGCCACCAATCCCATTGGAATTTACCTTCGTAAAGCACCATTAACTCTTGTTTACCTACACTAAAAGAAATGTAAGTTTAATAAAGTCTATCTACATCAACAAATAGCAAAACCCTTTTTTTGGGAGCAAATGTAAAGTCCTAGAGAGAAAAAAAAAGAGTGATGAATTCATTAGAAAATTCAAACTTAATTCACATTCTAAACATGAAAAGTAGAAGAGCAAATATTTTTAGTGATCTAATGATTTTCATTGACGTTCTAAATATAGAAACATTAAATAGCAAATTTTTTCGGTGAAATTCAATTGTCCAACACAAAGTGTACAACTACTCAGAGAAAATAACTATAATAATCAACGAATTAGAATCACCTCCTCTTGAAAAATATACAAGACAATAGGCAGATCAACTAACCAATTTTCTCACCGTAGTCTTGGAAAGACAATGTTGGATCAAAATGAACTTACATTTAAATGATGCAACTATAAATAATAAAAAAGTAACCGTAGATATAAAACGATAAGAATCTTCATTGCATTTTCATATGAGAATCAATCACAAAGAAAAATTCATGAATGAACATAGAGGGAAAAGATTGGTGCGTAATAAAACTTTCTAGTACGTGCACCTTTTCTATCCTCACAGTTTTATGATAAAGTTTACATAACAAGATTTATATTAATGTTTACAGGTTTTACTACAAATTTTACTAGAATTTTGAAACTTTTGACTTTTTGTTTTTGTTTAAAGATAAAGAATAATGTTAGTTTCTTACTTCAATGTACATGATATATATAAATGCAATAGTATTTAATAAACTGCACTCTATGACATCCCGCATGTTTAAAATAAGAAATTAATTAATTTTTCTCATAAATTAAAATGGGAAAAGGGAAGGGAGAAATGCGTGTGCCTTCCTGTCAGGCTGATAGTGCCTAAAACGACATGATTATTATCCACTTTTAGGTTGTTAAACTTGATGGTATATAATCTAATTCGAACTATTTTATATGTTTTGTTGCAGGACATGATGAAAATGGGAAGAATTTGTGAAAAAATGTCATCATCCCAAAAACAAGCCTTTGGTAAGGCTTGTGTTCACCGGATAAACAACTTAGTCTTAGGCAAGGCTAAAAGTCGTACACAACAACAGATTTAAATTAAAACGTGCGTTTTTTAAATCTAAAAAAAAAATATCATTCCAGCTAAGATCTGAGACCAAAAATCAAAGAAAAAATATTGTGAAAAGTGTGGGATAAAACAAAAATCAAATAACCAAACAAAAAAATAATTTGTTATTAATGCAATGTTATAACCTAGTAATTATATAATTAATTTATAGCTATATATATATACACACACTATTAAGATATTTATAATTAATTATTTTACAAAATTAAGATATTTATTATCTCATAAAATGCAGTCACTAATTCAGCTAAAGTGATCTTTGGAAAAGTTGAGATTTTGGCCTTATACCTCTGTGGAAGACGTACAAGCACTTTCTCCACCATCCTTTTATCCTGTGGCTCTTTTCTAAGGAACTTCACTTAGTTTACAACCTTCATCACCCTCTCCATGAACTCATTTACAGAATATGAATTATCTATCTTAAGGACTTCAAACTCTCTCCCTAAGTTGAGTATTTGTATCTGTGAACCCATTTCACATGACATAATCTCATAAATATTGTTTCGGATACAGCCGAGTAAATGAAGGAAATGGCCTTGTACTTCTTTGTCACTTCTTATGTGTGATGTTTCTTTTGATTTACAATTGGGTTTGCTCTTAAAGGACAGAGATCTTCCCAACGTCAATAGCTTCCTATAGATCCATCTCCTTCAAGAAGTTCTTCACTCTAACGGCCCAAAGTTGATAGTTTTCTTCATTAAAAACTGGTGGAGAAATGCTTCCCAAACAACTCAAGGCTATGTACAGAGCTTTTTTTTTGTTTTTGGTGGTTAACTTTTGTGATTTTACAATCGAAAAATTCTCCGATTTCAAGTCCTTCAAGGAATATAAAAGCTCTAATATCACTTAACTTCATGTACATTTTGGTGCTTGCTCTGTGTGTGTTTAAAGAAGCATGAAGTAAAAAATCTGGATAGAAAATCCAATAATGAAGATGGATAAGTTGCAAGATTTTTAATAAGTTATTTCTAATAAATGAAACCCATAATAATGCATAAATACTCCTACAGAAGAAAAAATACCATTAAAATCTTCAGCAATGAACTAATTAAAATTTTATTTATGAGAAAGACTAGCAAATTCATCTGGCCCTGTTGGTTTTCTCTCAAAAAGCCATATCTATTATATGAGAAGCTAATCAATATCTATTTCTGATGCAAAGATGAAATATACAGTTCAATGTGATTTGATGGTAGTTTTTTAAAAAAATATTTAAGTGTAGTATTGTTTCTATGATTACTGTAATTTTTATCAGGAATATCAACAATCTGATTTGCTCGAAACAAAGAAAAATAGTTTACCAAAATGAAGGGAAGTATTCAACCGGTGCAACTCAAAAGATGTATTGATCAACAAGCAACACAACTGTTTGTCTCTTTGTGTATATTATAAGCCTAACTTCTTGTATCCTGAAGGAATCACTTGAAGTAAGTGTAACATCTCGAACTCCAATGTCGGTGGGTACAGACGTTAGCACAATATTTCCAACTAGTAGAACAAATAAATATTAATATGTAGCAGAACTACACTTTAATACACATCACTTGTGATTGGATAATTATTTGTTTACAAATAATTGAAAAATATAAATTAATTTACAATTAAAAAATAAAAACTAATAATTTTTTTTTCGTCATCTTCCATTGATCTTTGACTTCCTCTTACCTGGATGAGAGTGAATTGGGGTGAGTTTTACGAGCTCGGTAAAAAAAAAAAAAATTATAATGGAGACTTACATACATACATTCACGAAATATATAAAATATAATAATATTTATAATCAGAAAATGTCAAAGAAAGCATCTTAATTAAATACACAACAAAACAAATCATCACACGAAACATATTATAATCCTCATTCTTTTAACCTAATTTTTGTTCTCATTTCAAATCAAACTTACACTCAAAATATCACAATCTAAGATTTCATCGCGCGATACCATTTATATCATCATCGATGAGAGGCGAAATGGATCCCCTCATCGCATGGATAACACACACACAAAATCTCACATTGGCCACAGCAGTTACGTTTGCTAAGTGATCCACACTCGCAAATACTTATCAACGTCTTGAATAGGTTTCAAACTCTATCCATGTACAGGTTCACTATACCTACTGAACTTTAGCCACACACACACACTCCCCTCCTCGATTTAGACTAAACGAGTAAGTATCTATGGTCCTTACACTCTATACTCTTTTCAAATCTCCCTTATTTTCAATTCACTTATTTCATATCTCACATCTTAATTTTTATGCGTAATTAAACACAAACACACATATAAAATACACGATATCATCACGCACATCAGAGCTATATATTTTAAACTACTTTCTGAATCATCCTATACCAAATCACACAGCAAGCACAAGATACTCAGATTTCTCGTGCAACTGTACTAGATGACACAGTAAGTACAGCGCGTCGTACATCTGCACCAGATCACACAAGTGTAGTGTACCCAATTTTCACATGTACACATACTGGTTATACATTTCACATGCATAACATATGTACACACATATTAATACGCACATATATTACAATACAGACATATACCATCACTATATATCTCACACCGAATATATATTTATATTTACACACACAATCTCTATCATTACATACACACATTCATACTTAAACACGTACACATAATCACACACAACATACTATATATATATTTATTCATACATTTATTTTTATCAGCTCTGTTCTTATTAATTCATATATCATTTATCGTATATTTATATATATATATACACACACATGCATAACAATGTAGATATATATATATATATGTACTATCTAAATACACACAAATGCAAATTAGACATACAAATTATATTCTTAATATATTTTACATACATTTAAATATTTACACATAATGCACTATACATATACACATTTACATAAATATATAATTTATGTCTCCATATGGAATACACATAATTCTTACATACTGTGTGATCACGAAAGTTTTGAGAATCCTTTTTAACTCGATCTACGGTTCTCTCGAAAATCCGAATACAGTTTGGATAATTTTCCTCATTTATAATAAAAAAAACTATATTACGCGAAATTAGGAAGAAATTTTACCTTCGATACGCAGTCCCAATCGCCAGCGTCACCACACACCATCACACGCATATTACCAAAAATGCCAGGCGCTGATGATTGCGATCAGCGCGCGTTGTCGCATGTGGTGCACCAACATCATATTGGTCGCCACACTTCTATTTTTTTCTTTCTTTTCTTTTTCTTTCTCTTCTTTTTTTTCTTTTTTCTTCTTTTCTTTTTTTCTTCTTCTTCTTCCTCCTTTCCCACAGCTCCTCTTTCTCTTTTTTTTTTCTTCTTCTTCCTCCTTTCCCGCATCTCCTCTTCTTCTTTTTTTTTCTTTCTTCCTTCTTTTTCCTATCTTCTTCTTCTTTCTTTTTCTTTTCTTCCTCTTTCTTCTTTTTTCTCTCTTTTTCTCTCTACCCACCGCGTCTCTTCTCTTTCTCCTCTTTTTCTCTCTCTAACCAATGGTGATTCCTCTTCTCTTTCTTTCTCCTTCAATTGAGCATCGTGCAACACCGTGGGACCCTTCTCTCTCTCCCGTTGATGTCGCTCGACCCTCTCTCTTCTCTATCTATTTTTTTCTTCTTTTTTTTTCTTTTTTCTGTTACTTAATTATATATATATACATATATATATATTATATATGGCCACATGTTTTCCTATTCTGCTCCCATAGTACACTCTGAATTCTTCTTTTGTTTCTTTCTTTAATTTTCTTTTTTTTCTTTTGTTTAATTATATATATACATATACATATATATATATTCTATAGATTTTTTTTTGTTTTTTTTTGTACCTAGCTGGGTACCAGCTGGGTATTACAAATCCCCCCTTTAAAATAATTTTGTCATCTAAATTACATGTCAATTAATTGGAATCACTCATCTCCCTACTTGGGGGAATTTTTATCTCAGGTGGGAATTTCCTCTCCTCCTAAGAAACTTTGGCCCTCTAAATTTTCATTTGCAAGAACCCTAAAACAAACATCTATGTATTCTATTGATAATATTGTCAACTGATTGGAGTGGTTATGATATATTCTTTAACGGAATCATTTTAGCTTTTGATATTTTTTTTTCAATTTCTTACTAGTGAAGGTCTGTAGGTTTAAAGGTGTTTTTTGTATCCAATTATCTTTATTTTCTTCCTTAGTGCAAGGGAGTTTGTTTTCTAAAATTTATCGTTATAATGATTTTGTTATCAGAACACTTCTTTTAGGATTTTGTTTCCTCTCTCTTCGAAATTTAATTTCATAAACACGGACATTTAGGAACTTAGGTTCCAATCAAGTGGTCAAGTAACAATATTTCTATTGGGTGAAAATATCTTTGGTGAAATTGTACTCATATTTTTCTCAATTTCATTTCATTGGATTAGTTTCTAAAGCGTGTTTCTCTATTTGCGAGTTTAAACGAAATGATATTTTATTTAGATTTTCTTAAAAACAACTAGTATAGTTAGAGAAGTATTATTTTATCTAAAGCCATATCAATCCTTAAGTTTCAGGTGCCTAATTTAATTCATTAGTTTTCTAGCTTTTAACAATTAAAGTGTGACTAGTTGAATTGGGCATATAAAGTTACAGAATTGATGATTATTTTTTAACGTGATTAGAAATTCTTTTAATAGCATATTTAATCATTATTTTTACTAAGAACAGCTACGTTTAGTTCTAATTCTCACAAGTACACTCCAAGTTTCTAAGAATTCCAAGAGACTGCTCTTAACTATGAGCTTAAGATATGAGTCACTAGTTTATCACACCATCAATTTACTCTTTTTGGTTTGAAGAGAAAAATCATCTAGTGTGGTGACGGTAGTTCATCACACTTTCGTTACACTACTTTGGTAGGAAACACATTGAAAATTTGCTAAATAGCTGGATGTGAGCACAACTCCTACAACTATATCCTTCACCTACGGAATTTTCCTAAGAGTATTAGAATTTTAAGAAATGAGAATTCTAGTTAGGCATTGTTTGATTTTAGTTCCTAGGATGACAGTTTAATTTCTAAGAATATGGTTATTTGTTTCCCTAAGATTCGGAACCACTATTTAAGTCTCTAAACATAGTTGGAAAAGAATTTTAAAATAGTGAGGGCATTTGTTTCCCTAGAGGGATGCAACGAGAATTCTTAAAAAAATTTAAATAGCCATTTGGTTCCTATCAGGCCTAGAATTTGTTAGATGGTTCTCTCATTTTGAGAATTTCTTCAGATTGAGAAATTTTCTCACTTGATAGATTTTCTTTCCACCTACTGAATTTCTCTTATTTGAGGAATATTGCTCTAGTTCAGGAAACCCCCCCTTCTAGGATTTTTTTCTTTTTTTTTTTTTTAACTAAGGAATCTTCCTGCTATGTGAGAAAATTCATCACATTAAGGAATTTTCTTCCTCTAAAGGATTCTGGCCATTCAAGCAAGTCCTATTTAAGAGACTTTTAGTGCCACTTTGGGGACTTTCACCTAGATGAGAAGTTTTCTCCTAGTTGAAGCATTGGTTCCAAATGGGAAAGTGTTTCTCGCTCCTAGAAAATTTTCTCTCAGTTGGGAGATTCTCGCTCCCCTAGGAACTACTTTCTTATCTTAATGGAAATTAAATACTTTTTCCTAAGAACTTTATCGCAGTCACTTGGCTTTACAGGTTCAATAGGTCAATAAAAGGTTAAGATTTTGATGATTTTCCTCATGATTTTCCTCAAGACTTGTGAAGTTCGACGATGGTGGTTGGTTATTATTGTCGTCCGTTAATTTCAGGTTGAACCCCTTATTTGTGGAGTCTTAAGTTTGCCAAAAAATAACTTATGTGGTTCCTATTGCTAGATTTGTTGAATGTTGTTCTCTTATTTTCCATGTTGATAAATATTTTAGAGAATGTCGAAAGCATCTTTTAGGAGTCACTCTCCTAAATTCTCTTGGTCCTACACCTCCTAAAGTTCCTATACCTCATGTCACAAAGGCTAGTTCTGAGGAACGTGTGCTCTGATACCACCTGTAATACCCCAAATTCCCATGTCGGT